CAAGAATCCCCTTACGAATCTCCAGGGACTTGCGACAGGGAGACCTCGGGGATTTACGAGGTAGTCAAGAACTCCCCGAGGATGTACGTGGGAGTTCCTAGAGATTTGCTAGGGAGTTCCTGGGGATTTGTCAGAGACTCCCCAGAAATACACCATGAAACTTACGACGACTGTAAACGATCGTGTCGACGTTTTTATCATAATATCCACCCCCCAGTGAAATCTCATTATAAAGTCCCGCTGGAAGTCCTAGGAGAATGACGACAGGGACTCCTCCGCGGACCGAGGGGAAGTGGGGCCTCTCGACTAGGGACCTTTTCTCCTGTGTAGCAGCCTTCAAAACTGGTTATCTATGTTCCACACACTTAAAAATATGATCAGAGTGTATTGCTGAAGACTACTTTAGATTTTGGATTTTTTGAATTTTTTGGGATTTTTTGAGATTTTTTGGGATTTTTTGGGTTTTGGGATTTTCTCGGATTTTTTGAGATTTTTGGGATTTTTTCGGATTTTTGGGATTTTTTGGGATTTTTTCGGATTTTCTCGGATTTTTTCGGATTTTTCCGGATTTTAAATCCAAAAAAATCCGCTTTTTCCCCCTTGTATTTTTCCAATAAGTATTCTTTTAATTGTTCAGACGTATAAGAATTTGAAGAAGATCAAGTCGAATCATCGACAAGACAAGGTGGAGATGAATTCGACGCATTATTAAGTTCCGAAACAGACAGTAAATAAGTATCATTATCAGAATCAAAAAAACACTCTTTCTGAGGTTGAAAATTTAATGTTCAAATTTGCAGAGTATCAAGATCTGATTCTGTCCTATACCGTACTCTCTGATCCATAAATCCATGTAAAAATCGTAATACTATAAAGGTCAATCAGATATCAAAGTTAATGAGTCTATGAAAGACGACCGATGCATCATTTTCAGAGATTATAAGACATAGTTATATATGGATGAAGTTGATTGTCAAGATTTTGAAATATCCGTAATGCATCACAAGTGGATTAAGTCCTAATAGAGCTCATCGGGTTCGGGTCCGAAAATTTTGTTTCGACTGCATCCATGTCTAAAAACTTTTGGACCCACTGGATTCTAGTACCCAAAGACTGAGCATATGCTACATCTTTTACCGGTATTACCTAGAATATGTGGTATAAATATGAAGCCTAACTGACAATGTACGAAAAAGAAATCGAAAAAATGCTTTGTTCCCTTACTTTTGGATTATCCTGTATATACATTTCTAGTGTTAATGTTATATAATACAAATCATGAGAGAACGTGTTGCTGTAGAGAATTATTTTATTTGCAATTTTATAATTGAAATTTTATCTGTGAAAATGTTTGTCGATCTATTTCATTCATCATCGTATTCAATATGAATATATTTCGTTTCATCAACCCAATTGATATCAAATAATGGTTTACTTTGTTGAAGATTTCTTGCTCTTAATTGTAATTCAGTCTGATTAAAAATTTTTGCTTGTTGATTAAGTCCAATAAGAATATGATTATTTTGAATTATTCCTCGATAGATTTGTTTGAATAGTGCACGTTTATATATTTGTCTATATCGAATTTCTTGTTCATAAAAAAAATTTCCTATAACAAGACCAGTCGATTTTAAAGTACGTAAATATTCTGCAATACATCTAGATGTACGCAATTTATGTGGAACATGATTTTTAACTGTAAATGCATCAATTATAATCACATCATATTGATTTGATGGTTGACGTTTTATAAAATGTTGACCATCTTCAATATAAACTCGAATATGATCATTTTCATTGAAATCAAAATATTTTTGTGCTAAATTCATTATTTCTGAATCAATTTCTACTACATCAATTAATGTATTTGATGAAAGATAATGAAAAATTTTTGGTAATATACCAGCACCAAGACCAATAATAAGTATACGTTCTGGTTCAGATTTCCATAAAAGACAAAGAAATTGTAAACGCATATAATTCAATAGAATAATAAATGGATTTTTAAGGTGAATAACACCTTGAATAGATGACATATCAAATCGTAACATTCGTAATGAATCTGACTGAGCAATTGTAATATTATAAAAATGTGAGGAACGTATTTCGAGTATTGTTTCTCTATCAAATACATAATTATATTTTCCAAATTTAATTCTATTATCTATTTAATATTAGTATAGAATAAAAGGAAATCATTTCAATTGATTTTTCTTCAAGTAAAGAACGCTCACCCGAAATTCTCAATATAGAAAATAAGACTATGAGAAATAAAACAACAAGAATACGTTGTAGATTTAAAAATCGATTAAGATTATATAATGACCAATGATATTTATTCAAACGATTTTTCTTCTTATTAAATAAATATCGAAACATTTGTATTATAGTAAAAATAATCTGATTTGTTTTTTTTTTCATTTTTAAGCAGACAACCGTTGCCTGCCCTTTTCCTCTTACAAGATGTCTAACAAGTGCACAATTGTCGCTCTCGTTTCTCTTTTTTTTTCTTTTTTTTAGTCCTTGAAACACATATTGTCGCACCGTGTCGATCAGGCTTATGTAATCACCAATGATACGTGTGCAGAAAAGAAAAGAACTCACAACCTTTATACTATATAACCTTGAGGACACCAGTTATATAACGTAGGTGATAATATACATCTATATATAAATACGATGTAACGAAAGTAAAATCAAGGATAAGTAATTTATCAAACATATTCAATGTCGAGAGTTTCTTTATCAAATAAAGGTAAGTTTTGATCTAGCTTTTCTTTTTTACATTCAAAAATTAATTTAATTTAATTCTATTAGAAAAAATTTTGGTCAAAGATAATCTTGTTATGAATGAAATCGATAAAAATATTAGTTTTCAACATCGTTGGTGGCATATATTACTTATTATATTTGCTGTAGCTGCTTTTATTCTCACTTGTGTTTTCAATGGTTTAGCAAGCACTGGTCCTAATAGTATGAAGCAACTTTTTCTTTAGATTTAACTTTTCTTTTTTTGAAACACAAATTGAAAGAATGAAAAAAAGAATTTGAATTCTAAAAAGACTAAACTCTTATATTCAGTTTCGTTTCTAGAACGAAGCAATTTGTTTCTGTAATATGTATTATTCATCGAATATATATATATGAAAGCTGAATAAATCATTTAAACTCACTGATTGTACTGTGACTTCTTTATATGCATAGATCAAAATAAAGAATACAGCGTGGTCCAAAAATAAGTCTTTGATTACGAATAACTTTTGATAGGAACAAAATAGAGAGTTGCAATTTTCATCGTTCGAAAGAGGATATGAAGACGCATCGAACTATGTAATATAAGTTAATTTGATCTAGGTTTTACAAGGACTTAAGTCGACGTATTCCATAAGATGGCTACATTAAATTTTTTGTGATCAGATATGCATTCGGACTGTTAGTCAAAAACCTACAAAACTATGCAAAGCAAACACTTTGAGAATTACTCCTTCAGAAGTTATAGATATTCTACTCGAAATTCTGAGCCGATTTTTCTATTAATTTCTGTGAAAAAAATCTCTTATATCATTCGATGCGTCTTCATCTCCTCTTTCGAACGGTGAAAACCGCAACTCTCTATCTTGTTCTTATCAAAAGTTATTTGCAATCAAAGACTACCAGGTTACTTATGGACCACTCGATATAGAAAACTTTTTTTTGTTCCACTCATGTGTTTTTGCTAGTTACGGTCTTATTCCCAGGTATCGAAAAGTATTGATCCTTGAAATCAAAGCCAGAATCAATTGAAGACTTGTTTAGTTCGTAAATAAAAATAATCGATTTAGTTATCTCTAATTAGAATAGAATACTAAAGACAAAAATGTGTAGTTTAAGTCTTGATAGAAAGAGTGGATCGAGACTAGTATGCAGATGTCTACTTGGGACACGCCTCAACATAGATTTTCAATTGTGTTTTTGTATTTTGATTCTAAAAGTTTTCATTACGGAAAACAATATTTTTTTTTTAAGGCATATTTACTCAACGGACAGGAAGTATAAGTGATCAAAATCTAACTGAATTTACGCCCGCTGGTAAAATTAATAAATATAATAAAACAAAAAAAACCCAATAATATTGTTGTCTAATTAAGGTTGGACATTTAGTATATGGGGTGTAATTTATTTTTGGCAAGCAGCATGGTTAATCTATGCATTAAGTCGAATATTTCGAAAATCAAATGATGGTTATTTATATATTGTGCCAAATACACTTCATTTTAGTATATTTATATATTATATAATAAATATGGGTTTAAATATAGGATGGCTTATTCTTTGGGATCGACAACATTTTGGTGTAAGTTAAAATGAAAAAGATTTATTAATTAATTTTTATCTTTGTTTCATCTAGTGGGCATTATTAGTCATTTTTTTAATGTTTGTTACAATTATTCTTCCAATGATTGTTACACATATACTTCTGCAACGTAATCGATTACAATATATTAATTCAAATTGGTAAATTTCGTTGTTTTTTTTTTTATAAATATGATTATATTTGATTTCATTTTCCTTTTGTTTTAAAGCAAAGCAGATATATGGCTTGTACGTGTATTTGTTCATAATGGTTTTGCTATTTATGGAACATGGTTATATCTTGCAACATTACTTAATTTGACTATTTGGATATCACAAATATATAATAGAAGTCCACAATCAATAACTGACGCATCAACAGCTGCACTTAGTCTTGTCCTTATTGGTATTGTTATTTATTTTATTAGTGAAAATATTTTATTTTATTCATCAATGGCATATACATATTTACCTTGGTTTGTTCTTATATTTGGATTATCTGGTGTTGTATCAAAAAATTATAATCGAAAAGATATTCCAAATAAAAATAAATTATTTGCACTTGCATTACTTATTATTTGTTGTGTATTATTTATTTTTCGTGTTATAATATTTATTATACGTTATGTTACAAAAAAAATTCCAACTATTCATCATCCTTAAAATAGAAATGAACATCTTTTGTTTTGTTTTGTTTTTTGAATAGAAAATTATTGATTTCTCCGCTATGTACTTATTTAAAAAATAAAATGAAAAACAAAATTCTTATGAAGTAAACAAAAAAGAAGAGAGAAAGTAACATTTTACAATTCAATAGGATCAGCTGATTCTGCTTGTTCGATTCTATCACGCCGTTGTTTTAATTTAATTTTTAGTGAACGACTTAATGTATCATCAGGTCGTAAAGAAAAATTATCTAAAAAACCATATTATTAAAAACAAAAGAAAAGAAACAATTGTTTTATTTTACCATCAGCATCATTGATTGTATTTGCTTTAAAAGAACTAAGTGCACTATTATTTAAATGTGGTGATCTTTCAGGTATATCTCTAGTTCGATACTAGGTGAAAAAAAAATGAATTTTTAAAATTTTAAATAATAAATCTTACACCAGCTAATTGTTTTTGTTGTAAAAGTAATTCATAAATTCTAGCTGATTCATGTTCATTTGTAAATTGATCAAGTGTACTTTTAGTTAATTGAAATAATTCTTCACCATTCATACCATGTAAATTTTGAGCAAGTCTTTAAAAAATTAAAAAAAAAATATTAGACTCCAAAAAAAGTTCTTTCATATATAGAGAAAATAAAAGAAGCATTTACTTGGTTGAAATATGTTTTGATGCTAACCATCGTTGAACATCTTCTTTTGATGAGTTCGGACTTATAAAACCGATTCGATCTGTTATACGTTGAGTTAATTCTTGTTGTAATACATCCACTCGTTGAGTAGCTTACACAAAAAGAAAAAAAATAAGACATGAAATGTACGAAAGTCTATTAAATTTCGATTTGAATTAATTTCATATGTTGAGTAAGACATTTTGATTACTCAAAAAATTGGTACGAATATCTCGAAATAAGCATTAGAATAGTTGAGATTTCAGATTTAAAGTCCGTGAACGAATAGCAAATTTTGTCCTTTTTCAAATCACACAATTCCTTTACATTATTGTTACATAGAATTGTCTGTATATGGATACAAAAAGTATTTTGTAACTTGTACAAGCGCCAGCGTTCACTACTTTCAACAACTAATACTAGCTTATAATCAATAGCGATAACTAGTGCACCTATTATTTCGTTCTATTGTTATACTATTAAGATGTGATTATGATTATGATAACGACCAATGCACTACTGTTTTTTTTTGTAAAGATATTAGAAGCAATTTCATGATAATTGATTATGTCAGAAAGGTGAGCGATAGTATCTCACATTAGTTATGGCAATTTCTTTTTGTACTGGTCGAAGTAAAAATAATGCTGGCTTGTATTCTTTTTCTTTTTTGGAAACTTACACAAATTGGTATTTGAACGAGAACGTCGTCCTTTTCTATTACTTTCTGGTAATTGCAATGTTGACCATGTGGATGATCGATTAGTTAATAATTGTGATGGCATTGGTGGTGGTGGTGGAATCGATAGTGGAGGAGGAGAAGGAGCAAGTGGTGGAGAAGAAACTAATGGTGAAAATGTTTGTTGTAATAAGTGATCTCTAATAATTGTCGGATTTGTATATGTAGTGCTATTTGATTGCATAATAAAATTATTTCCATTGGATGGTGAACGAAGAAGATGTTGGGTATAACCATTAGTATTATGTTGATGATGTCCATTGACATGAGTGAATCCTCGATTAGGTGCACTTGATGGACGTGGAAGAACGACTAAAGCACATAGATAAAGAGACATTGTATATATTTTCATTTCTTTTTCTATGACAACTATGATCAGTATTTTTGTCTACAGTGCAAAGAAGAATTATGTGTATGTGTGTGTGTGTGAAAAACGCAGCAATAAATCAAAAGCTGATGTATGTGTGTGTGTATGTTTTATTCTCTCTCACTCACTCACATTTGGTTTATTCATGTTTTAACATGATGAAGATTGAAGAAGTTCGAAAGGAAAACATGAATGAGAAAAGATTGATAAATACAACAATAAAAGAAAAAAAATCAAGAATAATTAAAAACAAATCAACATAATGACATTTGAAAGATATGATTACATAAACAATTTATTATAATTTTGGTTAAAACAAGTAAGATATACATTGAAGAGAAAAAAACCAATTGCCCGTCGATATCCATATTGTTGGCTAAGTTATTATAATATGAAATTGAGCGAACAAAACTAACAATATCAGATGGCTACTATTGGCACAACATGCTCAATAACAATAGCATTATTGTTTTCTTTCTCCTCCCATAGACAAAAAAAAACAACAAAGAAAAATGGATGTACACATAATGATAGAGAAAGAAAAATTCTATGTATATACATACAAAGAAAATGATTGCAATATTTTTGATGAAATTGATATTTTATACGTGCAGTTATACAGTATAAATTGAAAAGATACTGTTTTTGCGCGAATGCATAAACAGAAGAAGAAAAAAAAGACAAATAAAACGAATTATTTTTTAAAATCTCACTATTTGAATTTATTCTTGTGATCATTATTGATGATTAAAAAATGAGTGTTATGATACACTCACTTATATTTCTATTTTAGATAGCAAGAATAAGTTGGATTAAAAATATACATACACACACACACACACAGAGATCATACGTGTACGAATGAGCACAATAAAGAAACAAAGAAGTGAGAGTGTATAGTACACATGCAGTAATTACAAGAAAAAAAGACAAATAAGAAGAGAAAAAAGCGAATAAAGGTGTGATAAAGTGAAGAGATAGCATAAGCTTGATATTTTAATGTTATATTATTTTGATCAGTTATGACGCGAACGATTATTTGCGTTTGTTAGAAGACGATGCGAATTTATACCTGACGTATTCGATGATGTATTTTTCTATAATGAAAAGAAAAAAAAATGAAATTATATATTTTTTTTTTTTCATAAAAATAAATAAGTAAAATCAAAAAGACACATTTAAATAAATTATTTCTACATACAACTAATAACTGTTCTAGTTCGATTTCATCGACAATATTATGTGGTACATGACCAACATCACCATGAAAATTTCTTGCACGCCACCATTTCTTTGAATTATTTTCAATTTCAATTAATTCACCACATCGTACAGTTAATTCTTTATTATTTTGTCCTTGACGATCAAATTTTACAACATAAATTCTTTATAAAAATAAACTGTATTATTAAAATAATATTTGAATTTAATCATTTACTTTGCTCCAGCACGTTTTCTATCAATAGCCCAAGCATGTTCATTATAATTTTCTACTACACTGGTTTTATTTGAACGATCAACAGTTGATGTATCAAACTGTGCAGCTGGTGATGGTTGTCGTGCAAATGTTGTATGATGATTTATTGATGAACCATTATTATTATTATTTTGATTTGGTTGCTAAAAAAGAAGTTTTAATTAAAACAAAAGAAAAAATATATAAATAAATTCATTATACTCGAGGAGAAGACCAAACTGATGGTTGACGTTCATCGATACTACGTGCTGATTGTAATGAATAATCATTAGATGGTTCTTGAAACCATATTGGACGACCTTCAAAGAATAGTGGTCGATATTCAACAATTTTTTGTGGTACTTCTTCACTAAACATTAAATAAGAATGATTGAAATTTTAATGATTTGTTGTTTTTTCTTTTTTCATTCGTATAATTTCTTACGCTGTTCGAATCCATGCTGGACCAAGATTCCATAGAACTTCTTGTTCTTTTGATGTTAAACAATTTATTAATAGTTCTCTTGCTTCTTTTGTTAATGCAGGCGTCCATATATCGTATGCTAATTGTAATTGATTTGGATGTTTTGAACGTAATGTATGTAAAATAAGTTGTAATGGTGATAATAAATAATGAATTAATTCAGGTGCATTTGGACTATGTATTATATATTTTAATTCACCTAAAAGATTAAATGAATGTTTAAATTTTTGTAATATATCAATAAAATATCTGTCATCAGGTAGTTTTTCAACCATTTGTTTTAAACCACCTTCAAACAAACGAAAAAAGAATCATGATAAAAATATATAAAATATTCAAAAATAGTAAACTATCTACTTGATTTTTTATCCTTTCGTCGATAATCACGTTCTAATTCTTTGGTATATTCCATAATTGCTTCAATATAGCGTATAAATAATTCAATGTCATCAAAACATTTATTTAGTTCTTCTGTTAAACGTCTATAATGATCTGTTGAAACCACAGTTGAATGTGGTTGACTTATTGTACGTGATGAATGTTGAGGACCAACAACATATGCTGGATCTTTGAAACAAAAAAAGTGTTATTTAAAGAAAAACAACGTTATCAATTAATTCAACTTACTATTCATTGGTAAAGGTTCATGTAATAATTGTTGTGAATTATAAGGTGTTGTTCTCCCAGTATCAATTAAACGACGATCAATTGTACTTCGTGTTTCTGACCGAGTACTGAACATTCATAAAATATGAAAAAAAACAAAAATCTAATGAAAAATAAATCCATTCAAAATACCTTCGAGAACTTTTTAATGGCTTTCCATTTACACTTCGAATATTATCAACAAGAAGTTTCGATTCTTTATTTGAACATTTAAATACAATTGCATGTGTTAATTCATTGCTATTTGAATTACTAGCCTGACTTGCTATTGATGTTAAATGCCGATCCAATACACGATACATAAATATATCATTAAGTGTATCTTGTTCATCAGAGTATACACATGTTGGATCAACATTTTCAAGTGGAATTGTTTCTGCAATAATCTACATATACATTCAAATTTATTTATTGATAAATACATAGCAAAAAGAAAAATATATATATAAAGGGTGGTCCAGAAGTTCTGAATCGATTTGTATAATTAATTTTTTTATATTAAAACATATACTTAAAAATGTGTATCTATGATAAAAAGATGCAGTAAAAGACGCTCTACAAAACAGCCTATGACTGATCCTCCCTAACTCATATAATAAGAAAGTCATAGGCTTAGAAATGTGCTTCACGAAAAAGAAAAATTAACGGTGAACTCGACCTCGGTATTTTTGCTTGAACTCCTGTTCCTTAGGTCCTTTAAAACAAATTCCTTTTTAGATAGAAGCGCCATGAAATTCTCTTCAAAATCATATCTAAACTTTAATTTCAGGCCTTCAATCAAGGCAACTAAGCAAATTAGGCGCGACGCGGAAAAAATGAAAATTTTGTAAGTTCGGTATTTTTTCGACTCGAACTTTTTTGTTGTTGTATTATTTCCGTGAAAAGCTTAGCAAAAGCGAGAACTCAGTTTGTGTTTGATACTTTCAAGTGCACTCTTTCTCGTGGTCTGCAAAAAAAGTTTTTACAGTAGATGGTGTGCTCGAGAATGAAGTTTCAAAAATCTAAGACGTCCGTTTCCGACAATGTGTCCAACCAAGAAACAAAAAACGTGATCGAAGTTTGATTTTGCAATTAGGTAGAGAAGAGCAATCATTTCTGATCAAAATAAAGCAAACCCGATCGAAAAATCTTTTGTTTTGATGAAGTTACGGGACTTTTACTGAAGGCACCATCAGACGAAGAAAGTCCATGGTTAATTTTTCTTTTTTGTGAAGCACATTTCTAAGCCTATAACTTTCTTATTATATGAGTCAGGGAGGATCAGTCATAGGCTGTTTTGTAGAGCGTCTTTTACTGCATCTTTTTATCATAGATACACATTTTTAAGTATATGTTTTAATATAAAAAAATTAATTATACAAATCGATTCAGAACTTCTGGACCACCCTTTATATATTACTTGTGTTGCTCGATCAAATATGATAAATGAACGATCAGTAACAAATAATGAACATGGTTTATTAATAAATTTTTGTGTTTGTTCTTTTTGACGTAATTTACTAACAACTTCAGCCGAATAGAAACTATCTAAAGATAAGTGTTGATGAAATATCTAACATTTGCATTCATAAGCATTTTCAAATAAAAAGAAACACATAAAACTTTTTTTCCTGATGTTTGTATAGAAATATCTATGTTTAAATCAAAAAATTCTTCAAACTTACTTCGTTTATCGTCAATTCGCACAATAGCTAATAGATAAGCATCAACACGAAATGCTCGTGATAAATCAAGATTTAATGCAGATGAATTTGGACGTGGTGTATAAACATCAGGTAATATATTATTGTTTAAAAAAGATGCATTTGGTCGGTCTAGATATAAATAAAAATAAGATTAAATTTTTCCTTCTAGTTTGTTACAAAAAAATCAAATTCATCCTATACACTTATAGATTTTTAAATGACTAATACAAGCGTTAATATACAATAACATACCCTTAGGTTTATTACTAAAGTAATAACGTGAAGGTGTATAATTGTTAGCTAGACGACCATCAAAAGGTAGTCGACTTCGATTAAAAGTCATTTGAAGTTTAATCCTTCACTTTCTCCTCCGCTATGTTTTTTTTTGTATATAAATATATTCTATTTTGTCTCGTTTTACAGATCACGTTGACGACGAATAAGTAAGTAATAATAATGCTGCGATACTGTTTTGTTTTGATTCGAATTAAGTGAAGGAAAAAAAAAGGTGTTGGTGATTGACGTGTGTCTTTTTTTAAATTCTCTATTTTTTTTCGTCTTTTTTTTTTCTTCTCGTCTGAATGTTTGTGAAAATATGATTGTGTAAGTAGGTTTGACGGATAAGGATTCGAAAAATAATAATTGTAATGTTTATAACTAGTAGAGCCCGCTTTCCTGTAGTAGACGGACGACGACAACCAATTTGAAGAAAATGAAAAAGAGAAATAGAAGAAGAAAATGAAAAAAAAAAGAAAAAACTTAACCAACTTTGTCCAAATAAAAGAACGAATCATGGTATAAGGAATTATTCATTCATCGTGGACAAATAATAAAACCTGATGAAGAAAAAAGAAGAAACACGGAACAGAAAAAAGAAGAAGAGGAAGAAGAATATCTCATTGTTACTATATTTATCACGCTTTATTCTTGACTCATACGTGTCAAACCTTACGTAAATCTATGAGAAATCAGCCAACAATTACGATCAAGATATGTATATATATATATATTTATGTAGGTGGATAAATGAGTAGATGTGATATATGACCAAATAAAGCGAGATAATAAACGATAGCAACAACTAACAATCGATTAAAAAACGAGAAACCGTTTGAAAATTTTTTATTGAAAATTCAAATAAAGATAAGTAGTATTATACTTATCGAAGAAATAACTATATAAAGTTAATCAATAATAGATTAAATACTCATCATAGATTTTTACCTGAAGATTTCCAATGTTCTCCATGACCATTTATTGTACGTGCAGACATGGGATCACTAGATAAAATAAATTAAATAAAATAAATAATAAATCTCATAATTTACTCATCAAATTCATGATGATGTCCTCGTCGAAGTGGACTAAGCATAATGATCTAGAGACAAACAAAGCGTGCGTATGTTATATATTTATATGTTTTGTTCTTATTTCGTTTTTCTTCCTTTTACTAAGATGTTCGAGAGTAACTATTACGTGATCGTCTTCTGTTTCTCTTTCTCATGAAAGAAGAAGAAAAAAAATGTCGAACTATTCAAAGACTCTATCGAGTGAACATGGAGCAGAAGAATGTTATGTCGCCTACATTAGACCACTGACTATGACGAAGAAGAGAAAAAAAAGTTAATCTTTGTTTCAACAAGACTCAGTACCAATGCAATCGAGTCAAACAAATTAGCCTACACGATTAAAGATAACCTTTTCCTCTCGTAGATACGGCAAATCCTTGGCTAGCCTTGATTTTCAACATAATCTATTGAAATATTCATTATCGAAAAGAAATAAAAAACGAGACATTAATGGTATAGTGATATCACATAAAAAGACAATCTTGATATATGACCAATCCAGCAAAGAAAAAAACCAAAAGCAAACGAAAAAAAAAAGAATCGAAACCATCAAGATGCGACCAGGTACACACATACAATCAATGCTTTCAGATATAGAGTAATAAATAAGAAAATTTCTTTCTTTTTTGTTTTGTACTTTGAAATAAATATTTTCATATACTTAACGAGCAAAGTTTCCAATAATGGTAATACATTTCTAAATTTTTCTTTCCATGTAAATCAAATATGATATAATTATAACCATGATCATGATCATGATCAATTTAAAATACATGATCGATAGCTTAAAAAAACCATTGTTTGACATCAAAAGGAATGAGTTGTATGAAGACAAGATCAAATATCCTTACTTTATTTTCGCATACCGCAAAAAAAATAAAAAAAAATGATACACGATATCGATCATAAATTGCTTAATAACTATTGGTGATACAACGACAGAGCATTTTTTTTTTAAATCAGAGGATAAAATGCACGTTTGAAGGTTATAAATGGTCTTTGTTTTATTGATTATCTTTTTCTCTTCTAAATGCAATCACAATACACTGAGAAAAAAATCCGCTTCAATCATTTTCTTTTGCGCACTCTCTCGGTGATGTATATAGAAAATCTTTCACATCGAGCGTATGCAATAAGTTGTTTTGATTTCTTGAGTATCTCTTTGACTAACAGAAACTATTCGCATACACTTTTACTTGAAGACTATTGACACAACGAAGACATTGTAATGTGCATAGATGTATATAAGTGAAAAAAGAAAACGAATTCAGTAGTATAAAATGATGGTTAATACGTATGCATGCATACTCATTGAATAGTTAACCAAAAGGAAATAAGTATAACAAAAATTTGAACTACAAATGTAAATGCAAATATAATTTCAAATAACTTCATTATATGATTGAAAAAATTATATTGAATTGATATGATGGAGATAAAAACAGGCAAGAATTTTTCGTGTGCTCTTTTAGAAAAAAATTTTTTATATCCTGCCAAAAGATTGCGGTACCGTCCTTTCTCAATGTTCGCTGTGCCTCGAGCTAGATCTGAAAACAGATACAATGCGATCAGCTGCAATAGAAGATGTCTACATAAAAAATATTTCAATTGAAATAATGAAATTTCATAATAAATATTTTAAAGAATAGTTCTTTTGGATTTAAAAATTTTTCATAAATACATTATTATTATTATTTTATTTTTTTATTGGTTGATATTCGTAACCAATAAAACTTTGATGTAATAAATACTTTAATTGTTTTGTTCTAATAGTCTATATTATTTTTATTATTGCAATTAATCATCAAAATGTCTGAAGAATATTGGATTATATCCGTGCCAGGAAAATCAGCACCAAGACAAAGTTTTGATGAAATTTGTCGAGCTACAGCCAGAGATCAATTATCTGTTAATTATATATTTAATATTCCTGATTTAAAGGCAAAATTAATAAAATAAATAATCTATTTTCAAATCATTTAGTTTTTGCATATTATAGGTTGGTACACTCGATTCACTTGTTGCACTTTCGGATGATCTTGCTAGACTTGATACTTATATTGAAGGGTATAAATATAAGAAAAAAAATTTCTATATGTAAATCTACAAAATTAAATTGTTTTAGAGTTGCTAAAAAATTAACACAATTTTTCTTTCATGATATTCTTGATGATGATCGTAATCGTCTTGCAGAAAATCTTGTTGTTGGACCAAATGGTCGTATGTATAACATTTTCAATTATTTTCTATTATTAATGAAATCAAAATTTAGTTGATCCAATACGATATATTACAGAATTTCAATGGGATCATGCAAAATATCCAACTAAACAATCATTAAAGAATCTCGCAGAAATTATTTCAAAAGTATGTTATTAGCATTTATTCCAGATTTAACTCTTCCATTGAACGTAAGGATAAATAAGGGCAAATAACATTGTTAGTATTTTTGTTTTATAGACTAGATCATTTACTAGAGACTGTCCGGATTCGAAAATTTTCAAGCCGACGGGCTATAGTCATTTAAGAAATGTGTAGAGTGCGCTAGTCACCGAATACAAAAAAATATCTCGTATCTTTGGGGCAACTATCCAATTCCGATAAGAAAATTTGATTGAGAGTATTAAAGTATGGTTCGATCAGATCTGAAAATTTTAGATCTGTCAGGCTCTGTCCTTCCATGAATATGTAGTTTAGAAATTGAAATTAATTCTTATATCATTGAAAAAATTTTTCTCAAGTTTATTCTTTCATTTTGATGTATATAGAAAGAAACTATGTGTCAGATAGATTTAAAGAGTTAAAGAAATTTGCAAAGTTTTAACAACGAATTTAAGACTGAGACCAGAAAGAGATCAATATGATCTCGTTAAATCTTATTTTGAAGTATTTGAGAATACATAGTAAATGAAGTAGAAGTGAAAATAGACACGATCGATTTTTGTCGGCATATAATATATTCCAACTGAACTTGAAAAAAGTCGTAAGCTCGCATCGTCATTTATCCAATTTATCATTGAAATAAACATTAGAATTCAGAGTATCATCTAGAATAACTAATATCTGAAAGATACTGTCTGAATCTCTTTCGAACGATATATATATTAAATTGAAGAAGCGAATATATTAGAATTGATTTTGTTTTATTTTTTTAGGCAACAACACATATTGAGAATGAACTTAAACTTCGTAGTCATTCATATAATAATGTTAAACAAAATTTAGAATCATTTGAAAAAAAACAGACGTATGAACATTTTTTTTTTCTTTTCTGTTAATAAAAAATGTTTATTTTAGTGGTAGTTTATTAACACGTAATTTAAATGATATTGTAAAAAAAGAACATTTTGTTTTGGGTAGTGAATATTTAAAAACTTTATTAGTATGTGTACCAAAAGCATTCATAAATGATTGGTATACAAAATATGAAACATTATGTGCCATGATTGTACCACGTACAACTGAATTAATAACACAAGATCAAGATTATGCTTTATTTACTGTAACATTATTTCAAAAAACAGAAGATACATTTCGACATAAATGTCGAGAAAATAAGTATATTAAATATTAGAAAAGAATAAGAGAATTATTGTTTGTTTGTTTTTTTTTTGTATTTGAAGATTTACTGTACGAGATTTTACATTTAATGAACAAGCATTTATAAATGAACGTGACAAAATTCGAGAACTTGAAACTGAACGACAAAAACTTTATGCTAATCTTGTTCGTTGGCTTAAAATTAATTTTGGCGAAATTTTTTCAGCATCAATGCATATCAAAGCATTACGTGTTTTTGTTGAATCTGTTCTAAGGTAATTGCTAGGAATCCTTATATGAATGTTTACAAATAGTTTACATTTCATACACATATTGCGTTGATTATGATATAGAGATGTGCAGAGTTACTCTATCCGATCTTTTAAGGTACGATTCGATATGTGAGTTGAGTTTAGTCTTCTGAAGTAGACTATCATATAAGATGAATAATCTAAAGTTTTTTAGAGAAAACTAAGATATTGTAATGATATATCTTAAGTCAAATTCTATAATCAATTTTATTGTCTTATATAGATATGGTTTACCAGTAAATTTTGTTGCTATTATTATGCATCCAACTCGAAAATCAACCAAACGTTTGCGTGATATACTTGATCAATTATTCGGTTATCTCGATCAATCAGATAGATCAAGATTTGATGAAGTAAAACAAAACAAATTAAATATATGTTTTCATTAAATTCGTTTCTGTTTTCTAGCCAATTGATATTCCCGGCGTATTTTCATTACAACAAGAATATTATCCATATGTTTATTTTAAATTAGATCTTGATTATATTGATATGAATAAAAAATGAATACACATTTTTCATATTTTTTTTTTGGTGTGCAATTTATTTTAAGTTTTTTATTTAAAACGAAAAAAAACCGAAACACATTTATGTCTTATTTTTATTGATATAACTAACATGATCTTTGAATGAATAAAATGAATATAAGTCTTGTTCTTCTTTTCATCGTCATATTGACTTAGTTTTACACACAAATTCTATCTTTTACCTACAATATAAAGATTATGTTTACAGTAAAGAGTTCGACATTATTTAGATTTTTACGTTTTTATTATGCATGTATGGAATATCAATGAGATCTTATACAAAAAAGAGAGGGAGAGAAAGAGCTCATTAGAATGTCAATAAGTAATGATTATTCTTTTCTCTATTGATTTTAGATTGATCGATTTTATCAACTAAATGGCATCAAGTGAAGCAAATGAAAGACCTCGTTTAATTTCTGCTATGGAATTAGTCGGTGCAGGTGGATATGATAAACTTCAAATTAAAAAAATTCCATATCGAGAACCAAATTCTGATGAAGTAGTCATACGTGTGAAATTTGCTGGACTCAATTTTGCTGATTTAATGAGACGGTGAGAAGCTCTCTTTTTTTTAAATATTAGATTCCAATTTTATCGAAAATAGTTCTCCATTATAATAATTTCTTCTATAATATTAGACAAGGT